CTAGCTGCAGTGGAGTGCAGTTACGCTCATACACTAGCACTCTTGCTTTGGCCACCTGGCACCTGTAACACTGGGGTCAGTAGTTTTATGGCCTCAAATGTTTACTTGTGGTTCTTAACATAAAATATTTGCTGACCTGCGATTAACATTTTCTAAGTATAATTTGTGATTTTAATTATAGCCTGCTGGACTGTTGCTAAAATAAGCTTAATTCTGACTAGGATTTAAAAGGTTTTTCTACTTTTAAAATAATATTAACACATCATTGACATGGTAATTGCAATGGCATTTAACAGAATGGTAAAATGTGTATATTGCTTCAAGTAAAAATTAAATAGAATAAATTAAACACTAACTATATTAATAGTTTTAAAAAGTTCAAAAAGGAAGAAAACATGACCAGATGTTAAGCATCTTGACTGAGGTCACAGGGTTTTTAAAAGTTTTAATCTGCAGTACTTTGGAAATCATATATTGTAAACTATCACTTTGACAATGAGAGAAATATTGGATAAAATTAGAGTACAGCTGTTCAATTTAGAAAAGTTACTGGTCAAAGGTTAGAAGTTCCTGACATAGTATAATTATAAGACTGTTTCTGGAACAAACAAGTAGATATAATTGTGGACTAGGACTCCTAAAACAGACTCTTAATTTAGGCTGCATGGCAGCTTAATGTCAGCTGCCTTCACATGTCCCCAACGATAGCTACATCCACACAGCCGCCAAGGAAATGAGGCTTCAGGCGAAGAGAGCTTGCACCCAGTAGAAGCATTGGTGGTTCTGCACTGGCAGGCATTTTATCCCAGCTTATGATAGGAACCCCTTTCCTCATAGGGGTCTCAATTACATTCCTTAGTCATTGGATTGTTAATACTTTTAAGAATGCTAACACTTCTGAAGGAAAGTATCAAATGGATTATTTTTCTTTTTGCAGAACCAGGAATTTATGCCAGCCTATAAGCTGTTCAATCATCTATCATCAATTTATTTACTCATCTAGACTGTCAGTTTAACACTACAGAAAGAAAAAAAATGGTTAAGGTGTTCAATTTTTTTTTCTTTTCTTTTTTTAATGTCTAGTGCTAGTGACAACCAGAGATGCTGCTACGCTGTTATTTGAGAACCAGGTCATCCAGTCCAAGAGTTCTCCGTGACTTTCAGTGAGGTCTGTAGACTGTTAGCATCTCCAGAACCTGGAAGGCAAAACTGTCATGGAGGTTGGCCTCACGAGAGGCCTCAACAGGAGGTGGGCAGAGGAGGGGAGCTATTCCTTCTACTGGCGGCAGCGAGTTAGTTAAAGGGTTAATGTCAACCAAGTGAAAGAAGATGGGAATAAGAGGAGGAGTCACAGCCTGGATCATGGTGTCTCTGATAGTAGCAGAGCATCCTGATGAAGTATAATTTGAAGCAGAAGGAAATAACTTCTTGGCATGTGTGCAGTTTGGAAATAGTCAGACAACCAAAGAGAGACGTGTTGCCAGGGCCAACGAGTTGGTGGCGGGAAATAACATGTTACTAGACCATTGTGGAAGGGATCCTGGTGTTGTCCCTGTCAGAATCTCCAGCTGCGCTGCCCTGGGTGCCCCCACTCCACTACATTCAGCGCACTGTTGTTATTCGCAGAAGGATCTGTTGCCCACATGAGCACACTGTGGTCTGACTTAGAGGCATGTATACTTTCAAGCTGATCATTTTGAGAGGAGTTGAGGTATTTTTGGAGAAACGCCCCTTATCCAGCCCTCATCCTTCTCCTCAAAGGCCCTTCTGTGGTGTCAGTGCTTCCCCAAGAAGCAGACATCATTTGCACGAGTAATGAAATGCAAACCTAACTGACAGCTAATTTAAACTTTTATAAGGTGAAGTTTTTCATTTTTAGTTCTAAATAGACCTGGTTTCTATATTGGAAATCAAAAAATCAAAGCTTCCATAAAATGTTCTATAAAAACACTTATTTTCATTATAATAAGTAGATAAGTATAATAGACAGGAAATATTTTAGCCTTGCCTAATTCAAATTAATAAGTCTTTACTCAAAATTCTGCCACGGGCAAGCATGTTATGGAGGAAAGAATGCTTGCTGGGGTGCCATTGCTTTAGACAGAAAGCTGGCACTCAGCTAAGATCAACATGGGAATGTGCACAGGAGACGGACATCTGACTTTACCTTCCTCATTCTGCAACTTGGCTTGTGACTTCAGGCATGTATCTTGACACACATGCTTACAAATATTTTTGGGGATTTACATGTATTTTTGCTCAATTTGCTTGGATTTAACATACAGTATTGTAAATCTGAAATACTGGCCCAAGAGGCTCAAGTATTTTCTTTCACCGTGGGTTCGAGAACTGCACATTTTATTAGTGTTTGAAGATCCCACATTTCTGTGCTCCAAACAGCTAGCATGCCGAATCTGGTTTCTAATGGATGACGGGTACCGAAGGGGTATGACTGAGAGAGGGAGACAGCTGAGTGCTTTTTGCCTAAATAATAAATTCTCAATTTCAAAAAGCAGCGCTTTGGATGTGTATATCATTTGTTTGTGTGTGTGTGTGGGGGGGGTGGGGATATAAAGGCATTTTACTTCACACTTCTGGAAACAGGTTAGGAATTGCTCTATGCCTGCTTCTAGAGAGTAGTAAGATTTTACTAGAAAATAGGAGGCTTCCAATTAATCCCTTCACTTAAGGGCTAAGACTTTAAGATGTGTTCTGTACAAATAATTCAGCCATGAAATATCCCCAATGAGAACGCTATTCACTCAAACACATTAAGCAGAATAAAATCTGGACTATTTCCTCTTCCCCTTTCACAAAAATAAAAACGTCCCTGTGTTAGGACAATTACAAACCCAGGAGGCAATTCCAGTTATCAGCCTACATACGTGTCATCAAAACGAGAAATCTATAAACCTCAGGAAATAAGAAATCAGGTACCAATCATCTCTAATGGCCAAGGCTTCACAGTATATACCCACCCTCCAAGCCAAGTTGATCTTAAGCCTTTCCTGGACAGTACCTCATCCTTAAAAAATTTAAGAAGCCAAAATGCCACATACACAAACATAAAGGGTGCATGAGGGAGAAAACTCACCTTTTCTTCAGCTGCTTTTCTTTGGATCTACACAGTCTGGAAGAATAGGTGATAGATTTGCCTTGTAATCACATGCATGTCAACTCCAAAAGGAACAGAACGCGTCATGAGCATTATCAGATCCTCCCTACAGCTTTTCAACTTTGGAGGAAAAAATAGGCTCTTTCCTCCAATCTGTGGCACGTACACAAGGCTCCTCCTCAGACAGAACCACTCCTTGTCACAGTCTACTTAAAACCACAAGGAAAAAAAACTTCCCTTCAGAATGTCCTTAAAGGGAAATTTGACCAGTATTAGAAGCTGCAATATCTGGCTAAGCCCCTGAGTTTAAAATATAGAACATTTATGCAGAGACACACACACTTGAGAATTTCCACTAAGTTCAATTAAGGTCATAATTATAAAAACTATGTTCTCTGAAAGTATTTCTTATTTCCTTAACCGATCCATTTTTGGTTTTGTCTTCTGGTGGCTACCAGAGTCCTCCTTATGGGTAGGAAACAGCTGAAGGGCGGGCAGATGCTTCCTGCTGTCTGGGAGAGATGAAAGGAACTCTCACCTTTGGAGTTCTTGGTAGAGCAGATGAGATGTTGCGTGCTGCCTCTCTCACTTCCTTCTTGGGAAATTTGAGAACTTAGAGTGCTGGACTTGAATAAAATAACTCAGGATAGTTCCCTGCTTTCTGCACTTACAAAGTGGATGGATTTCTGCCTGTGTCCCCAGGTTCCGGCTCCGATTGTTATGTCATTAGCCACACTGTGTGACTTCACTTAAGTTCAACCTCATCTGGTCTTTTGAAATCTTCAAACTACTTCAAAAGAAGCCAGAGAAGCCAACTGTATCCGAAGAAAGCCTTTGTTATGAACTAATCTATTACAAGAATTCTCAGTAGGTCACATTGACCTATATGACAAATGGTATTTGTTCCTAGAATTTTCATTTGAGACCATTCCTTCACTTTAGAAGGTGGGATAAGAGAAGAAATACTGAAGTCATAACTTGATTTACTTCCTAACCAAACAAACTTACAGTGCCCTTGTTTTCAGCCATAAAGGCATATATTAATATTTCCTGGAGTCAACTCAGCTAAACCCAACTAAAGAACCAGAAATAGGAAACGCAGAGTCTATGATGAACTGTTTTATTCCCTTGGTTTGATGAGTGGAGCATTACAATGAAGGATTAACAAATCTCATCAGCAAAAGTATACCTACCTTTTCCTTAGTGATAGAATTGAGTACTTGCTAACAAGGCAGTTTCTTTCACCTACAAGAAAGGAAGCAGTCTTGGTGATGTCACAGCACCTATGTCCCCATCAAGTCATGAGGCTACTGTTCTCTAGGTTACACACATACTTTTCAGGAGGATGGCTTACACTCATGGATTCAACTTCACTGCAATTTGTCTTTTCCTTGAATTACTCCACCAGAAAGGGCAGAAAAATCTTAAGGCCATAAAGGATGCTGACTGGAGCACTGTCATACTTTACAGGAAGTTCCTCTGGCCGGGCCTATTATTGAAACCGGATTTCTTTTCTCACTGTTAGACTCTTCCGGTTTCCCCCTTCCCCTCTCTCCCCTGGAGGTTCAGTGTTAGTTCAGTGTTTCTCTGGACACTCCACGCTGCTCCTTAAGAGCTACTTTCCATGCTACAACCAGCAAATCTTCGGTGCCATCTGACGTGGCTCTCCTAGGTTGCCCGAACATATCCTATGATTTACTGGCATCTTTGTGACTTGTAGCCATCTCTGCTTTGAATGAAGCCTTTTATCTTCTTCCTATATTTTCTCAGGACATGGCAGTGACATCCTTGTGTCATCTTAAATCTTAAGTTCCCTCACTTATTCTTCATTTTGCTAAATGACATCTCTTAGGCCTATCATTATCCCTTCATTCCAGACTTAATATAACTACATAAATTGCTTTATCAACCACAAACAATTTCCTCTGCCTCAGTGTGGTTCCCTCTTATCCTTTCTTTATTATTATAGAGTGATACTTAATTTAAAATGTCTTATTGAATCATAAAAATGCATGTTGCCTAAATTCTGAATATAGAATTTAAAATTACTTTCCAGCATAACCTTAATATTTAATTTTTCTGTATAATTTTGTGTGTATATGTTAACCACATAAGGTAATATTTAGGTATTTGTATAAATGCTTCCATTATAGCAAAATGTTCACTTTTTATATTACATATAGCTTCAGAGTTACACAATATTCTTAATCAGAAAAAACCAACTCAATACTGCATAGCTATAGCAAAGTATTCCCATTTCTAGGTTCACTGATAACAAAAGATAAGCTAAAGAGAAAAGCATATGTATTATTCTGTTTTATACTGCTGTCATAAAATATCATGGCCAAGGCAACTTATAAGGGAAGGACTTGCAGTTCCAGAGGGACAGAGCGCATCATTGTCAAGGCAGGCAAGCATGGCAGCAGAAGGGTATGGTGACTGAAGCAATGAGTTGAGACTTCACAATGCCGCAGACAGCAAACTTGAAAACTGCACGCATTTCTTGAAACCTCAAAGCCTGCCCTAATTGATGTATTTCCTCCATTAAGTCCACACATCCCAAACCTATCCAAAAGCTGCTTCTAAATGGGAATCAGGTATTCAAACACCGGAGCTTATGTGGCACGATCTCATAAAACCACTGCAGCAGCCAGGTGGTGGTGCACGCCTTCATCCCAGGACTGGAGGCAGAGGCAGGTGCAGCTCTTGAGTTTGAGGTCTACAAAAGTGAGATCCAGGACAGCCAGGTCTGGCTTTGATCTTGTAACCCCGTTATAAAGAATGTCTGTTTCAACCACTCCTCCTGCCCCTCAACCCTCCCACCCTCAAACAAACCAAAACCAAACCTAGAACAAAACTCTACAGCATACAAATTTATTTTTCACTTGACCTGGAAAATTTGAAAGTTATCAAAAAGTCGATTTTTTTTTTTTTGCCTAGTTTTGCTGAAGACTATATAGTTGTGAATTATGAGTGGACGTGGAGGAGCTAGGATATTGGGGGTAGGGAAACAGCAGAGAACTAACAGGAAGCCATGATTGTCCGTACACTTCCAGTCCCCTAGGCTTTTATCCAAGATACTGAGACTTTCAGCGTCAATAAAATATTGTCTGTAAAGTAGTTGTGAATAATGGCTGTAATAAAACTTACTATGAAAAGGTATTTCTTTCCCTGCAAGCCACTGTTTGTTTTTATCAGCACCAAAGATTCTATCAAGCATTTGTTAGCCCAAAAAATCATAGGAACTTGACTTAGGCAGAATTAAAAAGAAAAAATCTACTGCCTACACTTAACGTCATGTATATTTATCAAATACTACATAATAACTGCATTTTTTTAGTGTGTTTGTTTTGTCTGAGACATCTACCATGTAGCTAAGGTTGACTTTGATCTTGTAATCCACCTGAGATGACAGGTATGCACTACCATGCCTGACTTAGCTCTGTATTATCTGTCCCAACCTTATATTATACCTTCAACCGCTTATCCAACCTTGATAAAAAGGTTAACAGTGTTAAAACCTGAAGGCTGAGAAGAAAAACAGTTTGACAATGTGATTTTCCTTCCTCCCACTGAAGCACAGAAGAGGCAGTCCTGGGGATTTGGCCAGATGAGACAGGTGAAGAGTCTTTGGTGGAGGAGACTCCAAGCGAACATGACTATTGAGTTCAGAGGGAAACTTTCTCTCTGCGTAAGATGCACGGCTCTTGATTCCTGCTGTAAAGTGGGCACATTTGTTTATTTTTAATTTTTTAGACTACATTTACTTCTGAATTATTACTGGTTTCACAAATATGTCCATTTTCAAGGATGGGGGAAATTATCAAGTTGCCTTCCTGAATGGAAGCAATCCTTGACTAAGCTAATCTTGTGATGCATCTGCGTGTTTTCAAGGGTATGGGCTCAACTTTTTAGCTTAATGTATGAGGTACTTCACAGCCTCTTCTCCTTCCCACTTTTACCTTATACCATGGTATCCAGATAGTTCCCTAAATGTCACATTACTTATGTTAATTAATGCCATAATACTTCCGCATCTCATTTTCTCAGCTGGAAATAACCATCTTCCCCTTCTTCCAGTTTTTGAGGCTTATCACTTTTCTTTCAGGATTGAGTTGGGAGCTAATCTCCAGTCTCTCATCTGTGGAAGAAGGCATGAATCACTTTGGATTCTATCTCTTCTCTCATAAAAAAAACTCTGTAACTGATTTTTGTCATCTGCCTAAAGGTATCAGAAGCACATTCTTTGATTTTACTAAGACTAAGTTGTAGTCTTAGTATTCAGCTGCCAGAGAAGATCCAGGAAACTGCGAAGCTTCAGATTAACAGGTTCTCTCTCTTCCATACCAAACTTATCACCCTCATCAGAACAATACCAAGGCTGCATCACTTGTCACATGTAAGATGAATAGAGATGCAATAAAAAACATGTGTGCCAAACAATGTAACACCAAAAATGTGCAAATTTAATAAACGCTTAAATTAAGTTACTCCTTTTGTGTATGATACAACTTTTCTCTCAAGACTGTAAGTCATAATTCTTACCGAATATATAGTAAGACTCTTCTATTTTCTCACTTGCTACCTGTCCATAAAAATAGAGCAATCTGTATGATCCCTTAAGGCTATTTAAATTATCATTCTATATTTTTAGTATTTAAAAATTGTCATTAAAAATAGCAACACATTAATAATAGTGATTCAAGACTTGTGTGAAAAATACGTACCCCAGAGGCATTTCCTCTGTGTGTTTTTACCTTATCACTCATGTAACATTGAGGTGAAAGTTTCATGGACTTTGGTGAAAACGGAAAAACCAACAAGCCTTCTGTCACATCCTTTTATCCAGTTTGTTATAAGTAGTTTTTGATACAAAACAACAAAAACAAACATTTGGGTCTGGAGTTGATGACAATACGACAAAAGCAATAAATTGTCCCTTGCTATCTAGCTGGATGCTACACTTTGATCTCATTCATCATCTGCGTAAAGCACTTCTCCAAAGTTTCCAGCGGAGCACCACACAGAAGGTTAACCACTATGTACTCATGTTCTATAACACTGTGGCTTTTCTCAAAGCACACTGAGGTTCTGACAGTCCCTACTACTACTCACTTTATCTTCTGGGTGGTCTGAAATGGGCTTCTGTTGACTATACTTGTCTGTAGATGGAACACAGTGAACATTAAAACTGGGCATGTTTCTCACATCTCTATTAGAATAGCAGGAGTTAACAGATAATGAAAACATGGCTATACAATTGCTGAAATATGGCTGAGAAATTATTTACTAAGATGATCAACAAAGTTTCAAACAATGAAAAACACCAGGATGTAAGAAATTATTTTTGTGAAATAAAAAACATCACCTCCTTTAACAAACAATAATTCAAAATAGAAATATCATATAAATTGTAATTGCTAAGTGCTCTTCAGAATAGCATAAACAATTGAAAAGAATGGACAACTTTATTTTAAATAATATTCTTAACCTAGTTCATTAAGAATATATCAGAAATTAAGTCTTTACAGACAGAGTCAGTATATAATTTTATTTACAAAACAATAAACTTTATTTACTAAGAAAAAAATAAAAAAAATTGGGGACAAATAAATGCAAGTAAGATAAACAAAGCTTTACATTTTTCTACTATAGTTTTGTAAATTAAATTAAAATGAGTTTATCTGATAATCTCCTGTATTTATTTTTATAGGCAGAGTATGGTACAAACATGGATTACTTTGGTGTTTTCTGAAACAAATAATGTTATTAAACAAAATTTGAAATTCAGTTATTCACAAATTTGGAAGCTTTATAAAAAAGTAAAATGATTTTGGAGTCACAGAGAATTTACTACTTTTCTTCCTTTGCTTATATGAAAATATGCAATAGAAAATTACACATGTGAAATCATTTATTTTATTTTCTTTTATGTGTATGGGTGTTTTGCCTGCATGTCGGACTAGGCACCGTGTGTGTCCTTGGTGCTCAGAGGCCAGAGCATTTAATTTCCTGGGTCTGGAGTCACAAAGCAGCCATGCGGTGCTGGGAATCACAGCAGGGTCTTCTGGAAGAGCAGCCGGTGCTCTTCCCCACTGAGCTGCCTCTCCAGCCCCTTAATGTTTTCTACAAAGTTTTATAATAAACTTTAACAAAACGCCTAGCTAGTAATGAATTACTTCCATGCATTATTAACACTGTCATTTCAGAAAAGAGGTAGTCTTCTTTTGTATTTAAACATTTGAAAATATAAAAATTACAATGTCACCTAAGGCATTATATAAAACAGTATTCTTTAAACATTTTATTACATTCAGAACAACTAAACTTTTGACAAGTAATAGGACATTGCTTAGAACTTACTTGGTTTAAATTATTGTTCCAAGGAACTATTTTAGTAAGTCTTAACTAATAATAGCAAAAACCAAAAGTGCAATGTTTTATAGTTTCTATTCTTGGAATAAAAGTTCTGTGATTAAATTAAGTGCAATCACATTTACAGATTCTCTGTTCATTAGAAAGAACAGCCGAGCAACCTGTTATGCAGGTTAAAACAAAGAACTCAGGGTAAAGCAGCCACTGAAATCAAACAAGCAAAACTTAGAAATCTAATCTGGGCCAATCAAAGAAGACCTCTGTCCTTTTAGCCACCCCACTGTACAATGTGCCTTGTACTGTCTCGCAGTGAACCTCAGGTTTGCCCTCACAGCTCCTTCCCTGGGTTTGCTTTATGAGAGCACAGCACTGCAAGCTTGTTCAGTGTCCCCGCTTGTAAACCGCCTCTCAGACTCTGAACAGGTTTATGCAGGAGGCCTTCTCTCAAAAGCAGGAGCCTGAGCTTAGTAATACAAAGTATATTTGGAACTTTCTAGTTTCAAAATATTCTGTATTAATTTAAAAGTAAAACCCCCTATTTATTTTTATTTCAGATATAACTTTTCATGAAAAAATACAGTATTTTAAATATCTGCTGAAATAGAAAAGTGGTACTTAGAAATTAAATAGAAAACACTTTTTTTTCCCCTAGAGATGAAAAGTATTCTATTTTACTTTTCATTTTAACATCTGGAAGAAATTAAAGCATATAATTGTCCTAGATACAAAACTCTTTGAAAACATTTTTATTACATTACAAATTATACATAGGATTATGTAAAAAGAAAATGTTTCATGGAGAACTCAACTTGTAAAAATTTCCATAAGATTAGCATCTAATGAAACATCACTCTTTTATTTGAATTGTGGGGAGAGTGGGGTGTGCTGAGTGATTAATTTTGTGATCACTCATCTTCAACTCTGGGGAAAAGACTCACTGTAAAAGAAATGAAGGGCATCACTCCTCTGTCACAGACGACTTCCTGGACTTCAGAACAAGGTCCTTAATGGATGAGGACAGTTCCTGAAGCTCTTTCCGAGTGGCGTTGGTGACATCATGCTGCTCCTTGTCTAGCTCATCAGCTGACAGGTCCTCTTTCTGCCCACTCTTCTTATTTTGATTGACTAACTGTTGTACAACCAAGCCTTGGTACTTTACCAGGAGAGCATGCTGGTCCTGTCAGAAGGAAGAAGAACCTGTTACCGAGCACATTCGATTTTCTGTTACCAGAGAAAGGAGATTTGCTTGAACAGCACAAACTGAAAGCCGTATCTTCATGAGACAATGGCCATGTTAGTGCAAAGCTGAGTACGACAAGCAAGGTCTGTGCTCTCAGAACGCAGACAGGGTGCAGACCAGGAAGAGTAAAGCGTGTGCACACCACGCCACAGGAAGCTGATTTAGCTAGGCTCTATCACCAAAATCACAAACTAGTAACAGTCAAGGAAGCCGAATTGCTTTTAGCTGCAGGTTAGCTTCCTTAGATGAAGCAGAAAAGAAATTTGAAGGGGTCCTTGGAGGCTAAATCAAAACTAGGGAAACTGAGAGAGAAGTTCAGACATTCTTGCATCTTTTCTGAAAATTTAACTTCTAAAATTAGAGGCCTTTTCACCATAGATCTTACAGAGTGCTAAAAGACCCTTGAACTACACTTAATTAAAAAAGAAATCAACCCCTAACTCACTGTCCCCACGTCTGGGTGTAGATAGATGTTAAGGACTTATCTCATTCTCTCTCCCTCCCTCCTTCCTTTCCTCCCCCCTCCTTCTCTCTCTCTCTCTCTCTCTCTCTCTTTCTCTCTCTCTCTCTCTCTCTCTCTCTCGCTGAGTATTGGCAAAGATTCACATCCAAAATACTCCAAGTTTAAAAGCTTGAAAACTGTCCAATGCACTAAAATGTAATACCTCAGGGATTTTGTTGTGAAGAAAAGCAATGATCTGTGGGACACATCTTCCAGGTGCATGGAGCATGCTGTGGGTCGAGAACTGAAATAACAGGACCGACGTGAGGTGAAGAACAAGAGCAGGGTCTTCCGTGACCTTCAGCTGCTCAGCCAGCGCCTGCCGATGCTGGAACAGTATTTGCCTGCAAACAAAGTCACAGAAATACATAATTAACACGGACTCACTGCTTACACATTCTCCTTTCAGTATCAATCGTTTCACTTCTCTAGTTTAGTGACTCTGTTTCACAGCAATTGAAGGAATTCTTTAAATACGGGCAATATGTACACATACTACTTTAACTTTAGATGGGACACATAGATAAACATGCTAAGAAGTCACAGACAAAGCTATATAGCAAGGAAACTCGAAGTATATTTTCTGCGGTTGCTGGGATTAAACAAGTTATAATGACTTAAGTAAGGTTTCAGGTAAGTCAAATACAATGTCCCAGGACTAATCGTCCGTGGGATTAGGACAGTGAGTAGACTCTCAGTGAAATGCTAGGTCCCACCCAAGTATCAGCTAGGAAGTAGCTTATGTTTAGGAGCACCAACAACAGAGTCAACATTACCTTTCCCTTTTTTTGTCTCCCTTTTTCACCATAATGTCACAAGCTTCTGTTGCAGAATCCAGACAAGAAAGGAAATCTTCTATGCTCTGAAGACATTTAATTACATAATTTACTTTTCAAGACATTTAATACTGGTTTGCAATTTCACACCCCATACAAAAGTTTTCACCAGGGCATTTGGTAAACAGAAATCGTGACTTAGGACTGAACGGTGAAGTGCTCCCATCTTTCTCTGCCCTTCAGCTCCCCAAGGGGCCTGCACACGGAGCACTACTTTTAGACTCAGGCTACAAGGGTTGATTGGAACGGACACAGGGTGCTTTATACATGAGTTCTCACCGCAGTCACTGGTTAGCACTGACTTACTTTGTCATTCAGAGAGTTGTGGAGTTTGGTGAGAGCTACTTTGGTTTCTTCTGTCAATTTACTTAAAATTTTCTTCCTTATCTGTAAGGGAAAACATTATTTGGGTTATGCTTTTGATAAATGCTGGATATAAGATCAAACAGAGAATAAAATTCCACCACATATTCAGTGCTATAATACACTACTAAATGCAATATATCTTGTGTTCTGTTAGGTCTCAAACCAGGAGTTAAAATGTTAAAATATTACAGAATCACAGAGCTAGCCAAACATTAGCCAAAGACTTCTATGCAGCCTTCATCTTTACAGCCCCCAGTGAGATTAGATGACTACAGAGTGACGGCCATGTGGGAACAGAGGCTTTGGGTGAACAGACTGTAGTGTTTCCTCTCAGTACCACCTGAGCGGTGTCACACAGCCGCATGGCACCCACACAGAAAGGGAAGCCTGTAGGAAGAGCAGGGGATCTTTTCTGTGGCTAGACGCTTGCGTGGTAAGTGGTGTAAGGAATCTGTCTTCATCTTTCACAGATGGAGACAGTAAATTTTGTCCTGTGGTCTAGACGGATCATTCTTCTACAACATTTCAGGAAGGGCTGCTGAAAAGCTTGTTGGAAAGGCTGGCGGGTGTGCTGTGTCTGGGAGCCTCCTTGCTCTGTCTCTTATCAATCTGTACAAGGCTACAGAAATAGACTGCGTGTGCTGGATTTTTTACAGTGGAAGTAGGTAGAGAGACAGGAGACATGAAACAAGTCAGAGCATTGGGCATTGCTGTTCAAAGTGAAAGAGAGGGAGTTCAGGATCCTCCAGGTAGTAGTTGAGATAAATAACTGCACTTCTGTCTGGGGTGGGAGGGGCCTTTATTATGTAACCGAGTAACCTAAAATTAAAACACACCAAGAAAAATCATGCTACCTCTGTGGCAATAAACCACAGTAGCGGAGGCCACAGCACTTGATGCGTGTGGCTTTAGCACTTTCAAAGCCAGTAATAAATGCAGTGAGCCAAATGACGACCTTCTCACTCCTTTTCTCTGAATCTCCAACCACAAGATAGTCCCAGAAGAAACGAAGAAAGAGAATAAGGTAGAGGAATGGTTATCATCACAGCAGGAATAGACCAAACCCTTTAACCTGTAGGTAACTGAGCACAGCTCTACTTCACATGGCAAGGGCAGAGTGAGGGGGTTGGACTGGAGCTCGTCTCAGTATTTAAGTGGTATATTCCCATCAAAAGAAAATGACTGTGAACGAAAGGAACTGTGCCTAACTATTAAAGGGAGTTATAAATCAACAGGAAAAAGGGAAGACTGATAGAAACAATTAAAAAAGGTTCTATTTGTTATAAGTAATTAAACTTCTTTACTATACTATAAGTACTTTGGCCATATTATCAATCCTTATAGAATTATATAAGCATTGTACTATGCTTAAATTCTTTAGTATTTTTGCCATATAAAAACTCTTATTTTCCCTTTGAACTATTTCAAATGAGAAAAAATAAAAATTACATCATGCAGCAAGCAAATAACTAACATACATCACTTGTAATAGCTGCAGGGTCCTCTACCGCCATCATTAAATCTGAGGCTAGGAAGTTGAACATGAGGTTAGTGATATCGGTACACACTGTCTTCAGCAGGTGCTTGGTAAGAGCAGTCTGTGTGTCATCTGGAAAGTAAGAACACTTTATGAAGACTAACTTCTTTGCAGAATTACAAGAATCCATTAAAAAAGACACTGTTAAGTATACCTGCAAAATACTTCATCCCCTTTTCAAATAATCTAATATTGTTGTACAGGTTTGAGACCTCTTCTTGTAAGTCCTTGATTGTACGTTTTCTGCCAGTTCCAGAAGCAGAAGTTGAAGACATGAACACTGACCGTACCACTTCAAGATACATTTTATTAAGAGGTCTGTGACAAGATAAATATAGTCAATTAAAATGTACTGCATATATGTAAATAAGAAATTTTGTTTATAATAAAATAACATTAGAAATCTCCCATCTTTCTAATAAATAAAATTAATCTGAAGCAAGGTTCAATAAAGAGTTTGTTTTACAGGGCCAGGAATAATAACTTAAATGAATTTTTAAATTTTTTTCATAATTTTGAAGTATTCAAAGTAATTGCAGGAAAGATGACGAGAATGATAGTAAAACTCTATAAATTGAAACAGGCCTTTAAAGTTAATTTGTGAACTAGCAGAAGATAAGTTTGCTTTTCATTGTCAGGAAGCACAGCAGAGAAGCTCTCAGGGTCCAAAGTACTATTTAAGATGATGGATTAAAACACACCTACATGCACTATCACAGATTACTTCAAAAAACAGTGCACAGCAGGCAGTTATCTATTTTCTGTTTTTTATAGACTACAGCCCTGCAACATATTTATGCATAAAATTTACATCTATTTAAAAAAATCTCATCTCACTACAAAAGCTCTACTTCAAAATAAAAAAGTTAGATTCCCCGAAGTCTTGGATAATCTCTATGAGACTATGTGCTGGGTTTAACCTGAAGGATGACCAGGGCTGGGTACAGTGGTTATGCTATGTAAATTTCTTTCATTTCTGCATGTAAAATTAGCTTGTTTCAATTACATGATAGACATTTCTGAACATATTGTTTTTGAGGTCCATTTTTCCATTTCCAGAGACTAAAAGTAAACACTGTCAAATCAAAATAGAAAATGATCCCTTTCTCCTTTTAGATGCTACTTTTTATGCTATGTAAGGAACCAGTTAGTGATTAGCTCCAATCAAGACCTAAGACTGCAACTTCAATGAACACTTCAAGGGTTCTCAGCTTCTATTGTCCATACTGTCCAAAGCATTTACTAAATCTTAATTGCTTCTGAAGGAAAATGAATTTGGAATTCCATTGATTAAATTAAACAAATGGTTTGGTGGGGGAAAAAAGGCCTAGCAAAGTGTTGATGGTGCATACCTTTAATCCCAGCACTCTAGAGGCAGAGGCAGACAATTTTCTGTAAGTTAGAGGCCAGATTGGTCTATAGAGTGAGTCCAGGATAACCAGAAACCCTGTCTTGGTGGGGGGCGGGTGCTAAAATATGCTTTTTGAGATCTTAGTGAAAATTACATTCTGTCAAAAATGGTAAGACTACCAGTAAGAGATATAATTTATACTTGCTTTATTAGGTATTCTGCAAGTTCGGAAATAAACTCCTCAGGGGCATCTTGCACATGTTTCTTTAAGTAATCTTCAATTTCATCCTGGAACATGAACATGATGTCTGGCTTCTTCTTTCCTGTAGTGTGTATCAGCAATGAGAAAACAAAACACACGATCAAGAGCAGAAGCCAGAAAGGATTACACACCTCCCCAGACAGCAACACATTTTATATGTCAATAAAACTGCTACTTTCAAAAATAATTATCTAATAAAATTAAATTTTAAAAGTCTGTATAGTAGAATTTCACTCTTTTTAACTTCCTTTAAAAATGACTGTCCTCTGTAAGATGTCACAGGCCTAGGGGCCTATCTTCTCTCAGCTATCGTGGGAAATGGAAATAGTCAGGTATCAGGTCTTTCAGAAAAGAGTGATTTCTCTTCTATCAACAACAGACACAGAGCAGATTTTCCTTCTTCACAAAACTGAGTACTTACTCAAGCCAAGTCAGCTTGGAATTTACATGAGAACTTCAGAAAGTGATAAGACTATGTTAACATTTAGCTTTCTGGAAAGATACAAATAAATAAAAACCTTATAATTTATTATTGCTTTCCCAAACACAATTCTATACTGGTGAATAATAAAAATAAAGATTAGTATGCAGCTAGTGCATGGAAATGTTAATTGTGGAAATGTCACAGCTAACCACTTACTTGAAAAAGTATTGGTAGCAAAGAAAGTGAAAAATATTTTCATTATAAATAATAAAGCTATACCTTTTATACAAATGATTATTTCCAGCTAAATCAAATTATTGATTCAACAAGTGAAACCTCAGCAATAAAAGATAATGGCTCAGAAATCAATTTTCAGTCTTAATGAGAATCTAAATAGATGAATTCATAGCTTCAAGGTGTTCTAGACACTTCTAAGATCTGTTCTGCAACCCTGATGTTCACACTAAATAGTCTTTTCCTGTTTGTTTCCCATAAGCCTTTTATAGGTGGTTAAATTACATTTCTTCCAGTAATCTTTCATACTGACTTGATTCTATGTTCTAGTTGAGAACCTAATTTCACCCTCCATTTCAGAGATTATAACACAACCCTGTTTCAAAGCACTGAAATTACTTTTAAGGTAGAATGGTTTTACTACTCTTATAGTGCCTCCATAATCTATATCCAAAAGAATGTCACATGCCTCATTTCTCTACGATCACAGGTATTAGAGAATAACTTTAAAATTTCCTCTTTATTATTGTTCCCACTGTATCTTGGGAATTCATTAATAAGCACATAAAATGAAAATTAAAACACACAAAGCCCTATTGATGCTATTTAGAATAAGAGTAGACAGAGTAAACAGTTTCTATTGGACACTCTGCTTTAATTAACATTATTTTATGTACAATAACAATGTTAGTTATTTCATCCTTTCTTAGATACTTTAAAGGTAAGCCTAAGTAATTACGATGTTGCATATAGTAGCATATTATATTCATTGGAGGTTTACTTATTTTTTAAAATTGTTGCTGGGGATGAGGAGGTTATATTACATGATCCTTCGTTTAGAATGGGAAAATATAATTGTACTTAGAAGAGCAAAATATGATGTCTCTTGCAGAGTTAACCTCGGCAAACATTAAGAAGTCTAAAAAATAAAAGATGCAAGAGGCAGTTAACTAATTCCCTCTCAGATGTAAGTAACAAGCCAGCCATGTACTGTACAATTTCAAACAACTTTGTGATTCTCTGCATCAGTTTCCAATATCTATTCTTCCCCTTTCAATGTCTTCAATTATTTCCAAGTGTTCTTTCAAGGTAAAAAAGCATTGGGTACACAAATGTCCTTGGCTATCAGATACAATTAGGGAACCCAGGAATATAAACCATGCAGTTGTCTTTTCAAAAGAAGACGTGTGATGTGGGATTTCCCTCTGTATGTTATGAATATATTTTATTACCACTGGTTAATGAATAAAGCTGTCTTGGCCAATGGCTTAGCAGAGTAAAGCCAGGCAGGAAATCTGAACAGAGGTATAGAGAGAAAGTAGGTGGAGTTAAAGAGATGCCATGTAGCTGCTGAAGGAAACAGATACAGGAACCTTACCCAGTAAGCAACAGCCTTGTGGCGATATACAGAATTATAGAAATGGGTTAATTTAAGATATAAGAGCTGGCTAGAAAAACGCCTGAGCTAATGGCTGAACAGTGTTATAATTAACATAGTTTCTGTGTGATTATTCGGATCTGAGCAGTTGGAAATGAATGAGTAGCCTCCATTTGTAGACATGGAACTTATTTTTGGCCTGGAAGGTGGGAAATGGAGGTGGCTAATAGCCTAGGGGATCCTTGTCCTATCTGTAGGGCTAGCTTATGCCAAACTCTCACAAGCAGGACTGGAGGTGGCTAATAGGCCAGGTGACCTGTATTCTCTCACAGGTTCTTTAAGGTACCACATGGAACTTAGCTCTAGAACCCACCTTCATGGAGAAGTAACCTGTGCTAGAGAAGTTTCAATGAAATTCACAGAGACTGGGCTACACTAGTAAACCTTTTCCCAAATTGTACTGTACTTTTTATGCCTAAAACAAACCGCCTAGGGTCAGACTAGAAGTTTGAACCAACACTGGCTACTGAGTTGTGTGGAACTGGATTCTTTCTCACCTTATGTGGATCAACACTCTGCTGGCTCTGGTGGTCAGACTTTTTGTTTTCTTGTGTTTTTCTCCCTTCCCCTTTTGCCTATTCTTCATCTTCTAAAAATTTTTCCAAATTATAATTTTGTTATAATTATACCAATAAGTGAGTCAATACTATGTACCTCCATTTGCAGCTAATCTCAAAACGGCAAAGGCAGCATTTCTAGACACCACTCCAGTGTTAACATTGACTCCAATTTTGATTTAGTTTGGAGACAAGGTCTCATATAGCCCAATATGAGTAAAACTCAAGGCTAGCCTTCAAGTCCTGGTTCTTCTGCCTCTACCTTTTTTTTTTTTGAGTGATTTTTCAATACAGGGTTTCTCTGTGTAACAGCCTTGGCTCTTCTGGAACTCATTTTGTAGATTAGGTTGGTCTGAACTCACAGAGATCCACGTGCCTCTCCCTTCAGAGTGCTGGGTGGGATTAAAGGTGTGTACCACCATGTCTGACTCTGCCTCTATCTCTTTAAGTGCTGGGGTTATAACTGTGTGCCCCCATGCATGGCTTGAAAGTAATACTGTTTCCAGTGTTACTACATTTCGATTCTTTTATCGTCTAACTGTGCATTTTTATAAACTGTCGTGAGTTTATCACTAGGAGCTGAGTGGCAGGACACCTAACTCTAAGCTGTGCTGTTTTCGCATGAAGAATGACCATATAGTGACAAGCCTTAAAAGGAGTGACTTAACTGTCAAAGACCAGAGAAGACACCTTCTGTTTAGTGATTTCTGGCATGAAAACTAAGAGATTAAGTTTACACTTTATATTATTAAGCTGTGAAATTTGTAACCACTGAAAATGCAAAACAAATACTTTCCATATGAACACATGTACCTAATTATATGCATCTTAAGAAAAATGTTAAAAACATATCCACACAAACAAATAGTGAAAGAAAAGCTACATACCAGCATGAGATGGCTGAGACTCATCATCACTGTCATCATCTTTTCTTCCTTTCTTCTTAACTTTTTTAATTTTGTATTCTCTGGCGTTGCCCCCTCCTCCTCCTCTCACACTTCCAGAGCCCTCTGGTAGAAACACATTAGTATTATTTAATTAACAAGTTTTAGAAAATGACGATAGTATTTTGCTGTATTAAACAAATGACAGAAAAATGAAAAGCAAGCTAAAGAAAAATTGGAGATCCTCTAGAGGTCAGTTTTCATACTAAGGTGATAAGGATAATAACATCAATAAGTTCTATCACTAAAAATAGAAATCTCTTGAACTTAAACAAACTCCTGAGGTTGTTTGGATCGTAATCTACTCATTGCTGTCTCTTTTCTGTAGCTTGCTAATATCTTTGTAGCCAAATTCATTCCTTGACCTTTCTTGTCTTTTTTGAAAAATTACTTTATGAGTATGAGTGTTTTTTCTACACGTGTTTGTGTATCACATGCATGCAGTGCCCATGGAGCCTCCGAAAGCGGAGTTACGGGAGGCTGTCAGCCACCATGTGGGTGCTGCAATTTGAGTCCACGAGCAGTCAGTGCTCTTCACCACTGAGCCGTCTCTCCAGCCACTTCACCTTTTCTTGTCCCCTCAGAGAAACAACCATTTACTCATCTCTGATCACAGCGCTATTTTACCCTCTGGCTAAACGACTGATTACTCCCCATGCTTGAACGAGTCTGATGCACACAGCACTCACCTAGATTAAGAATACTTGAGATATAATGGCTGAAAAATAACAGATACTGGATAAATATCTGTGCGTATTAAACCAGTAACAGAAAAATGCCACTATCAATTGGTTTATTAACTAATCAATTATCAGTTATTCTCTCTCTCTCTCTCTCTCTCTCTCTCTCTCTCTCTCTCTCTCATTTCAAGATAGGGTTTCTCTGTGTAACAGCCCTAGCTACTCTGGAACTCGTCCTGTAGACCGGGCTGGCCTCGAACTCACAGAGATTCTCCTGTCTTTGCCTCCTGAGTGCTGGGACTAAAGGCATGCACCACTGTCCAGCAATTAGTTATTTTCAATCAAGTAATTTACTTACTTAAGAGGTAATAAACACAAATTATGAGAGATACTTAAGTACTGTGTAAGAGAACAAAGACACATCACTGAGGTAGTTATCTGCCATTAGACATCCACATTTAGGATCTCATCTATAAAACAGAATACTCACCTTACAGTGGGCTATACGTAGTAAACAGTTTTCAGCATAAACGTTATTTATTGAGTAAAATAAAGTGATATCTATTAACATACTTGTCTAACATCTGAGCAAATTCTCTCAGATTTCATTATAACTTAAAATTTATTTTCCTCGGTTTTACAATGACAAAAAATAAAATCACATGCTTAAAGGGAAATGTATCTTTAATATTTGGAATTGAGTTTCTTATGGGCGGACATTTGAGTTGGACAGGATTCAGTACACCATAATTAATTATCTAATTAATAACTGCCACATAACTGCAGTCATGAGAACAAAGTAGTGTGAGAGAAAGATTGGTCACTTACTCACACTTGTGTGTTTCTAAATACCACTCTAAGCAGAGCGATAACATGAGTGTATCTAGTATTGGGATTCACTCGAGGGACTTACTGTGCCTTTCTGGAAGGATGGAGAGAATATCCAAAATATTTCCAGAGTCTTGCAGAAAAAGGTTTTGCAAGAGGAAGAGTTTTAACTAATGAAATAGAAATGGATTTTCACAGCAAAATTATGTTCTAAGCATACATGGTAAGTATGTTTGTGTTTATTAAGGAAACAAGTCAAATATCAGAATAACTTGTTTCTACTAGTGAGAGCAGGGAAAGTGCATGTGCTTTTCAACTAAATGAAAGTGCTCCCCAGAACACTTACCACTGAGTGTAAATGCAAATTTAATGTTTAACAGGGAGATTTGCTGGCTTAGGAAATCTGAGGCCATGCCAAGTGGTGTTTTAGGGACTAGGGATACGACCATGGGAATGGTTTCAAAACAATATAGTACACTACAGCGCCACAGTCAGCTGAGGAGGAGTCACCCCAAACTAGAGAAATAATACAAGTATGGCCACTATTGTGAGGGGTTAGAAAGTCACCCAAGGAGTTGAAACTTGGAATTCAACTCTAAATGAAAGGCAAATCCAGTCACTTTCAGTTTCGAAGAAGCAATAAAGTTAAGCAGCATAGTTATTGCTGAGGCCTTGAAGTGAATATGAACTCGGCAAATAAGAGAATACAGATGGGAAAACAGGAGGGATGGAGAGCCACAAAAAAGGCTTTATATCTTTTCATGAATATAGAGAGAGTCAGAATACATTGCATCATTTCTATTTTCAACATTAAAGTTTAATTTACTAGGAGCTGAAGAAATGGTTCACTAGTTAAGAGCACTGTCTGCTCTTACAGAGAATTCATGTTTGGTTCCCAAGGTCCATATGGCAGCTTCACAATTCTCTGTAACTCCAGTTCCTGAGGGTCTTGATGCCCTCCTCTGGTCTCCTAAGTCACCAGGCACACATGTGGTGCATAAACATACATGCAGGCAAAACATCTATACACATACAATTAAAAATTTTAAAAAAACTTAAATATTAATTTAGTAGAAGATTTGGTTCAGATTAGCAGTTAAAATAAATAAAAAAGAATCAATGAAATATAAAGTCTTTCAAATGGCTTTAGTACAAAGTTCATGCAAAAAAATAAAAATGCAACTTTCCCAGCAACACTTGCTAAAGGGGCCTCATTTTTCCAATGTAAGTTTTCAGCCCCTTTGTCAGAAACTCAGTAGCTGAAGCTCCTTGGGCTGATTCCTATTCCAGCCACAAACCTGTGAGTCTGTACCTGTGCCAGCACCATGCTGTCTCTGTAGCACACCATGCCTGTGGTTCTTTAGGCAGGTACTGAGACAGCCCCAGCACTGCTCTTTTCTTAATTATTTTCAGAAGAGGGCGATCTGATACGGAAGTCTGGAAATGCACTGTTAACATGTACGTACAGACAGCTCGTCTTTGAGTCTCAAGCATTACTGATTTATTACCTGTTGCTTTCTTCCTGCGCTCATCTTTTTTATCCTTTTTATTTGTATTAACACTTTCTAAGATGGAAACTTGCTTCAGATCTTCTTCAGTGATTAAATGCACAGGGTTATTTTTCATTTCCTGAAATAAAACATGCTTTTTAGTAGGTAACATATATTTATACATACAACATTTCAAAGAGTAGAGAAGTTGCTTATTTATTATTCACACATCCTAGTTATCATTGTTAGGTTTCATTACTACAGATGATAACACTCATAACCGCTGCTCTGAGGATGACTCTTTGTACCTTGGTCTCATTTGCTGCTCTTCTCTTCCCTGGCTAACGAAAGCAGCGAGGCAACCACAGAGCACCTGACTGCAGAGAAGGAGATGCAGTCTTCGCCAGCTGTCACTGGTTTGGCCATACTTAAGAAATTAGGTTTTTTTTTTTTTTTAAAAAAAATGAGAAATAGTTCTTTAATCTCTAGTGACAAAAGAATGTTTTCACAGTAAAATTACTATGATTTTCTTTTTGGCTTCTTAGGGAAGATGCTTAGGATAATAAGGATTCCAGTAATAAGACAACCTCTCTCTAAACTCATTTTTTTTTGTTAAACAGAGTTCAAAGAAAGACGATGAACTTTTTTTTAATAAGTGATAGCTAACACAATAGCATGTACACACGCACATACACACCCCTCCGCACACACACACTTCCAGCCCTGTATTTACATACATTCTTACCAGAGTATCATTTTTTCTTTGAAGATAAGCAATATTTCCAAGTACAGAATAAATCAATAACCCTAAAGTTTACTGATATTACATATTTCTATTCTTGTGTACTTAACAGGACAACTGCAGACAACTAATGGTAACTGTCACACTACTAAGGTTGGAAAGAATAGAGTTAACCACAAGTGATTTACACATTTACTAGGTCTGCATGAATCCGGCAACAGTATATTAAGACATAGGGCTTGTCTTATCTGAGAATAGGTTTTGTACATGGATGGTGTTTTAAACTACAAGCAGGAACTAAATAGCTGTGAAGACAGGTCTGGCAAGAACTATGCTTCAAAATATTTTCAGATAGTAGTCAAATACTAAAAATTAAAAAAAAAATTGTTCCGGAGCTGTAGCGATGGCTCGGTGGTGACGAGCACCAGCACCCCTGCGGAGGGTTCAGCTTTGGTTGCAGCACCATCATGGCAGCTCACCGCTACCTGTAACTTAAACTTCAGGGGACTCAATACCCTTTGCTGACTTCTGAGGGTACCCAAACACAGGTACACACAAATATATTTTTCAAAAATGATCAGCTTTTGGTTGGTTAAGATAGGCTCTTACTATGGAGTTAAGGGCAGACCTTGAGCCAAAAGACTAAAACTATTTAGTATTCTTTGCCTGAGTTCCTGCGTGCCGGACTGACAGCAGTGCGCCCTCATGTTGGAAAACAAAAAATCTTCAATAGTAACAAAATTTCTTTTCTCAGTGAGTCATCCTGTCTCTTCTAACCAGGTAAAATCAACGAGGATTTGCCAGATTCAGTGATTATCTGTGGTGCTGTACAGGCTTTGTACTAAAAATATGCTGATTTTCTTTCTTTGATGTCTCTCTGACAACAAAATAAGCTTGACTTAAATATAAGTAACTTTTTATAATTTTTTTCACTTTTATGAATTTTAAGATTTAACAGTAGATAAACTCAAAAGCTATGTAATTTTATTGATAAGATTTTAATTTGTAAAATCAATTCACTAACTTTTAACAGGTTCTAATGAAGAAGAAGAAAAGGATTAATAAATCATAGAGCACATGAAAGGGTTGTGCAAGGTGATACTCCTTTGCGGTCAGACTGCTACAGCATTTCCCCAAAGGTCAGCTGGCCCGGAATGGAAAGTATGCTGCTAAGGTTAGCAGGTGGAGAAACCTGGGCTACCTTTTCCGCCTTCTGGTGCATCCGCTGGCTGAACAGTTCTGTGCAGTCGCTTATGAACTTCTCACTGACCACAACTGTGTCGCTGAAGACGAGTGCTGAGGCTTGCTTGCTGAAGGGTCTCATCACCTGCTGAAGCAGCATGGCAGCATCCTCAGCTGACAAAGAACTGGGTAGCAGAGGCTGGAATTACAAGCAAAATAAAAACGAGAGAATGCATTGAGACATAGTTATCTGTTTCATATGTGTAACACACATGTGTGTAGATAGATTTATAAATGTGATTCCCCTCAAGTGCCCCCACTTAAGGCAGTCAGTGGCTTTCAGAAGCAGTTATGATCCCAACTTTCCCCACCTGCAAGCTTTATAGGACTATCAAGTTGGGCAAATCACCACCAAAATCTACAGAACCCTCTATGTTTCTCTCTTAAACCTACAAACAATTCACCAGTAAGTTCTGACAATCTTACCTGTACAAAGTTTCTTTTCAGCTCTATCACCTGAATTATTATATGTGATTACTATTTTATGTATCTTTCCCTATGAACTGTCTATCTTAAGAGAAGACACAGGTTTGTTCACCATTATTTCTGGCCTATAGAACAGTGCTTACCACACAGAAACTATCTGAGATCTGCTGTTAGAATAAAGAAGCCTTAAGAATTCAGTACCCACAAGCAGGAGCTTTCCTACCTTATAAAAACACCTATGTTCTCATTAGGAATAACAGACTGGCCTCCAGATTACCTTTACCCATTCTGAAGTGTTTCTGTGGCATAATGAGGGGCGGCCGAACCTGAACAACACTAAAGCAGTTCATGGTAGTACATTAGATTACCGGAGAAGGAACAAGCACCAGGATGTCTGAGGCCAGGGCAGTTGTACACACTTGGAAAAGGCATTATGATAGTCAACTGCTAACTGACACAACGTAGAATCACCTGGGAAGAGTCTGAGTGAGGGACAATCTAGCTCAGGCTGGCCTCTGGGCCCTTCTGTGGAGGACTGCCTTGCTAGTGTTAACTAGTATGGATAGACTCAGCCTAAAAGTTAGTGGAAACATTCCCTGGGTTTTGGTCCTGGATTAGATAAAAAGGAAGAAAGTAAATCAAGCACTGGCAAGCAGGCATGCATTAGCTTGCTCTCTGCCCTTGACTGTGGATGTGCTATGACTAGCTGCTTCATATTCCTTCTCCCTTGACTTCCCATGATGATAGACTGGTAAGTTGGAACTGTGAGCTAAAACAATCTGCTCACACTGAAGTTGGTTTTATCAGGGTACTTTTTCATAGCAACTAGAAAGAAAACTTATTCATATGTGCAAAAATCTCATCAATTTCACTTCCAGGACTGAAATGTTTGCTATACTATTTTCTTCTTTGTTTTTTGAGATTTATAAAACTCTGTATTTGATTATATATACTTAAAACATCACTTTAAGCCTAAAATAATTAAAATTTCATTTCTGTTGTAACAATGCTAGAATTTACTTCTAAAAGTTTTACATACCTATTTATAAAATGGGCACATTTTAGTAAAATATCACTCATCATTGGCTTAAGAAAAACTTAATAGAAAAAGGTAAAACATACAGAAATATCAACCCATGTCCCCGAGCTGATGGCTTCCTCTACCGATGCTTCCACCTGGTCCACAAGTCCTTGACCAACACAAGCTGCCTTCAAAAACAAGAGTTGTGTATTCTTGTATCTTTTCTTTATATAGTTCACAGCATCTGGGATTCCAAGTCTTGATAAAGCATCAAATTCTAGAATACACAAGAAAGTTGAATAAAACTCATTCATACCTTCCTGAAGTCTTATAAAACGTTAATTCCACACAAGCCTATTCTTTGACTGTGAATGTAATATATTCCAGCATTTTCTGAGGAATAAAAGAGAAGAAGCAGTGTAGCTAGTTACACGGGGTTATTTTCCTAGGTGTCTATTACAAGAGATCCCTGTAGGACACCTGCTTCACGTGCTCCGTGAAAACAAGCTGTGTGGCCCCTTTCCCCACTGCAGGCTCGAAGGAAAGCTGGACTGCAGAGCAATACAATGAAAGACAGCAGTAAAGGAAACGGAAACTGTTCAAATTAAAACTCAAACTGGAATCTGTTTTGCTGATTTTAGTTAAAGGAGTGAATTTTATTTTTCAAAATGTGCTACTGTACAATAGGCCACAACCATTCTCCAAAGCAGACAATTTAGCATAACAGACTCAGAGCTACAGAGGTCACTGGTATTGAAGGCATTACAGTTATTAAGAAAAATAATAATAAAGTTCTAGCTTACGGCTGGGGTTGAAGAAACCGTATGCACATTATCGGAGATCGAGTGATCCATACTAGAGTATACATTCAAACTGTTCTTCATACCTAGGAGAACGTGCCCCACTGTGCAGCTTGATCAGGTCTGCACTCAGCAGAGGACGTGGCCTCTGCTTTCAATCAGCCAGTTTACTTTACAGAGACGAGGGCAGGACCTCGGGAGCACACGTCAGAGTAACTGCTTCTGAGCAGTAGATAACTGGTACAAGCAAGCACTGCAAAGACCAGTCAGTGCATATTTCTAACATGAAGTAACTTGAAAGAATAAGCACACTACATTAAGCACAGTAATTGCTTTTGGGGTTTAAACACTCAAATTTTACAACACCTTTATACAAACTGAAGGTTAGTAACTGTCAATACCATCTTTTGGCATTTTTTAAATTTCAGTGATAATGGAATTAATTTCAGTTCCTAAGCCCCACAGAACTGAAAGTGACACTTTTGCAGTCAAAGGGAACCATGACAATCTACCTAGTCAACCACAGGAAAATGCATGTGGACTCTGGAGAATGCCTTCTTTGAAGAGTTCAGTGTTAGCAAGAAATTTTAGTTTCAAAGAAAAGAAAAAAAATAGTTACCTAGGTAGCCATTTTGCCTGAAAAAGGAATCCACCCAAGCACTCTGGGTCTTGGAATAAATGTCAGGGATAAACACTGCTTTATCCTGTCGGCCGCCAACCACAGTGCCTCGTAGACGTCCAGTGCCAACGAGTTCCTCAAGCACAGCTAAAGCAAACACACAATACACACAGATCAGAACGGGGAGACGGCTTTGAAGGCCAATACTTTACAATCAGTCTCCCTAAACGTGATGCTTCTTTAAGATGTATTACAATTTAAATACCATATATGAAATTACATTTAAAAAACATCCCTAGTATTTATTTTATGAGAATACTCAGCCTGTAACTCAGGAAAAATTTAGAAACCAGTGTAACTCAAACCAGATAATATTTACACATTGAATAATCTTGAGAAAAATTTAACATCTTTGTCAGAAATGGAGGCCATTGAAGAGAAGGAAGCATTGTAAGAGAGTGGGAAGGGTTGGGAAAGAGGGCATAATGCAATGCATGCGACATTAAAACAAAAGAGAGGGAACTCTTTCAGGGAGGGGGGAACCAGTAAGAGGGAGTTACAGAAATGGAGATGAAAGACAAAACATGACATATACGTATGAAAATGCTATAAGAAAACCCATTATTTTGCACGTTAACTTAAAAACTTGATTAAAAATCATCACCCCATCATTTACTTAATACTTTGATATAAAAGTATAATTTGATTTATACTTTAATAGACAATGATTAATCTCTAGCATTATACATTCAATTTTCGAATAACTAGAAGAACCAAACACCAGGACATATTAGATTCAGCAGTGTGGTCACTCTCTATTGTCACTGCATTTCTGTTTAATTGAAGCAGGGCATCAACCGTTCCTAATGCAGAGGTAAAATGCCGCAGCTCCGATGACGGATTCTGGGGCTCCAGTGGTCAAAGACAAACTTCAACTCTGCCATCTACTAACTATAAAACACTGGGCAAATAATTTCCTTAGTACCTTTATTTTCTTATTAGAGAAATGGGGACAATAACAATACCCATCTCATAAAGGTGCAGTATTCAAGTAAAATGCTACCCTTAGCTGGAATTATCACAAACACTCAATACACATTGGACACAAATTTTTTTATCACCACTACCATCCTCCTAAGTATAGGGCCAATCTGCAAGCTAACTGGACTTTAGGCATGCTCAATAAGAGGGAAATCATGCCTCATATGGTAATGGTGCCTGAGGTGGGTGGAGTCGTGGACCTTGGAGAAGAACCAACAAACACCACTTAACTAAATAAGCATAATCTCTAACATCATTATAAGTATCTGTCCTTATTCCCACAGTGCAGTTCTCATCCACTTTCAAGGAAACTTCTTTCTGTCGCACACTGAGATCATTACAGAAAACCACAACCAATCAAAATGCAGAGTTGTGGAGTCCAGTCACAATGGATCCATATTAAAGGTGACCAAAGACTAATATATATAAAAATAATCCAACTCTTGCACCTAAGGCTCAGGGACCACTGTGAAAGAGAGGGTGGAAAGATTACAGGAATCAGAGCAATGGGGAATTTACATCTCCCAGGAATGTCAAAATCTCACCAACATGGCTGCTAATAACAACAGACATGCTAATGTGGAGGGGAGAAAAAGGCCCCAGGAGGCCTCAACCTTAACACACAGAACTATAGGCAACTTAGAAATGCTGAGTGCAGGAGAACGTCTTCCCCAGGGACCAGCACACCAATTAGTTATCCAATAAAAAAGTCATATATATCCACATACACCACTACTATCACCACCACCATCACCACCACTACCACCACCACCAACAATAACCATCATGAGAAAAGAGGTCATGCCTTTGGATGAGAACAAGAAGGGATGTATTGGAAGATAGAAGCAAAGAAAGGGATGTAAGAAATGACATGGTTATGTTATAATGTCCAAAAATAAAAGACATAATAAACTTTAGAAAAAGAAGAAAAAGAGAAAATCAATGACTTGGTTTCATCAACAGTCATACAGCAGTGCTATACCCTGGATGCTCTACACCTACAGTAGAGCCTACAGAGGTGCTACTGGGGCTCATGGAACTCGTAAGACGTAGAGCCCACAGGGAAGTCCTTGGGTCATTGAATGGATGCCCTTGAAGAGAACTGTCTGAAACTTTCTCTTTCTCATCATTGGAAATGAAAACCAGGTACTCATGTATTCTCAAAAAACACTATATTACTGAGTTACATCCACAACCCAAATAAAACAAATTGAAATAAAACTCACAGTAAAGGAGCTGTTCCTGAAATCCATATTTTGAAATCAAAGAATTCACTGCTGTAGGCCTTTATGAGAAATTAAAAGAAAAAAAATTGAGACTAATTCACTATAGAACTGTATATGACTAAAAAACCCCCAACAAATTGAAGATTATTAAAAGAAAACATCAATTAATTTAAAGAAAAAGATGATGGCAAAGTTATATCAACTCTTAAATACCTGATCAGGCTTGTGCCGCCCAGATAGCAAGAATGAGTCTATTCAGAACCCATATCAACTTCTATTATGATTCCAGCAGCATTTTCCTTTTTGTGATGCTGGGCTTGCCCTTGTCACTCACTGTGCAGCAGACTGAAATTCAAGGATGCTCACACCTCTCAATGTACAATGCTGTGGGACTTCCCTATAACTTGTGCTATAACCAGTTCTAGATGTCCTTATTTTCTAATGCAATACACTGTCTGAAAAGTTTAGTGCATATCTAATTTTTTTCCCAAGTATTTTCAGTATATGGCTACATGCATGACACAGAACTCACAGACATGTGAGCATGGATGAGCACCATTTTACTTACTGTGGTTTCCCTCTTTTTACCTGAGAACACTCAAGGGAGCATCATATGATTCTGTTTTTCAAGAAAAGTGAGATAATATGTGTACTTAAATGTATCTGGAATATTTCTAGACAAAAGTGTTTAGCAGAAATCAATTTTAATATGCTATTTTTACTTATCTGTATTTATTGTAATGTTTTCTAAACTATTTTAGCACAATATGATTTATATATAATTAACATCTACTCAATTTCAAGTGTATATTCAGTAATCTTAATCTTAATACATTTACAAACTGATTATTTATAATACCATAATATTTTTTCTTTTAAATTCTTGAAAACACTTGGTAAAATAGAAATACTTATCTATAAATGAATGAAATACTTAAAGTTCTGTGTTTGGAGAGTTTTGATGAAATGATTTGACAAAATTTCATATGGATCAATTTGTTTTATTAAACTGTTTGATCCTAAATTTTCTCAAACTCCCAAATTACTATGAAGTGTGTCATCTCTGTTTATGTTAAGGTAATTAGCACAACCTTCTCTTATATTTATTATTTTACTTGTCTTTGCATCAGCATTTAACAACAGACATTCCTTTTAAATAGGGCAGCTGTAGTGATTTCTTTTTCATCATTTGACAACAGTATGTATTTATTGAGTATTACTGTGAATTCCTGTCAATGATGAGCAACTTAATAATGACATTAGGTACAAACAGCGGATATGAGAACTTAACATGTGTCCTTCTAAATATCAAAATCAGAAAAGTTAGAAAAAGACCAAACAAGTGTTCCATATTAAAGGTGACCAAAGACTATAACAATTAAGTGAAACACATGATTCTAAACTGATCCTGAAGGGGCAGAAAAGATAGTGCTGAAGCAATCAGTATACCAATATGAGTTTGAATACTAGATGGGTGTATATATCAATGTTAGTTTTCGGACTATGACTTCTAGGTTATATTATATAGGAAAATGTTCTTTTGTAGGAAATACAGACTAAAATATTTGTGGGAAAATTTGAGCAACTTCTATACTGGTCATACAAAAACTTCTAATAGTTTACTTATAAATTCCAGATTATTTAAGAATGAAAAAGAAAGAACATTGTTCCAACTGAATAAGCTTCCCCTTGAAACCGCAAAGTCCTTTGTACTCCTTGTGCCTTGCATGTGTTCAATACTCAACACATACATACTGTGTGTCAAACGATGAAAAAGAAATCACTACAGCTGCCCTATTTAAAAGGAATGTCTGTTATTAAAAGCTGATGCAAAGACAAGTAAAATAAGGATAGCAAATAGACATCAGATTAGTGATATTGACAATATAAATGGCAGAAACCGGACATATGGCTTGAGAAGTGACAGAGGGTAAGAATATGGGCAGTGAATACAGACATCAGTCTTAAGAGACCTTAAAAGGAAAGAATGAGCAGGGCATTAGACAGAGTGGTGGTGAGGGACAATTGTCTATATTCTGCCAATTATGTTTTAAATAAATGCTGATTGTCCAGTAATCAGGCAGGAAGTATAGGTGGGACAACCAGACAGGAAGTAGAGGCAGGTCAATGAGAACAGGAGAATTCTGGGAGGGAGGAAGTCCATTACTCCCCAGTCCTGTCCCAACCACAGAAGGAAGATGTGATTGCCTGCTGAAAAAGGTACTGAGCCATGTGGCTAATATAGATAAGAATAATGTGTTGATATGTTATAAGAGTTAATAAGAAGGCTGAGCTAAAGGGCCAATCAGTTTATCGTTAGTATAGACCTCTGTGTGATTTCTTTGGGACTTAACAATTGCAGGAACCAGGCAGGACAGAAGCCTCAGTCAACAGAGAGGAATATGCCACTCAGAGGTGCAGTGACATCTCAAGACTGACGGAAGCGCAAACCTACTCAACAGAAACTATGTGACAGGTGAGGCAACAGCCAAGAATGTAGGCTTTCTGAATTCTATATTTACATAAACCTGAACACTTTACAGACTCTTAGTTTAGAAAAGTACCTTTCTAAAGGAATATTGCTATTCATTAAAATCGTGGACTTTTAGCATAAAGGATCCTAAAAACAGTCCCACCTAAACTCCAAGTAAGCTAGGTTACTGACCTATGTGCCATCATATGGCTCCTATGTAATAGAGCATTGGACTCAAATTCTCCCATTTGCATGATTTCTGGCTGATTTTTTATATAGTGATGTTAGCATCAGATTTTAACACTGTTTTCTGTAAAAGTACAAAAGTTGTAGGAGCAGGGAGAGGAAAGCGATGTGAGTGGAGACATCGCCTGAAGCTGCAGGGCGATTGGTAAAGAAGTCCCCAGACTATTTTGATACAAAATATACATCTTTAATAAACAGAAGTAAGACTTACAACAGCTTACACCAGAATCCAAACGATTCGTCTGGACACAGGAGCCAGGCGAAAAGAGAGCTAGCGGAGCGCGCTTGCTAGGTTTATAGGCAGGCTTTTGTCTGAGAGCGGCACGCCCCAAAAACAGAATGTGATTGCGGGTCTGGGGACCCTGGAGGCTTTACAGTACCATTTCAGAACTCTCCTTCTACCTACTTCATACACTGGGATATTTAATGAAATTTTGTTTTAAAAAGATTCAACTACTCGATAAAAGATGCAAATCGTATTCAAGAAGAATATAATTATATCCATACACATACACACACACACACATATATATATACATACATACATTCATACATACACATATACATACACACACACACATACTTAAAACACGCTTACCGGGTGATAGCACTGAAGAGCCCACGGATGCGTGCTTTATGACGAGCCACAAAGGCCTCAGTGAAAATCACCCCTCTGTTGTCAAGGTCAATGTGGCCATTGATAATTCGACCAAGTCGCTGAGTTAGTGCCTGGGAATAAGGCATCAATTTTTATTAATTTGCAATAACAAAATTAAAGTACGTATTTGTGTAGTCCTACTCAATTTATGCTGTGTGCTGTGACAGAAATTTCAGCTGTGTAAACTATATCATACATAAACTAAAATGATGAATTAACAGTATCTAGAAAGCTTCACTGTCTCACAGCAGACACCAGAAACATACCAAATGGTTAGATGGTTAGCTACACTAATAGCAATTATTATTATTAGTTAACTGGTCAAGGATTAACTGTAATAATAGCCCTTGCTTAAAATACTTATTTCCAATGGAAAATAAAAATAATTGATTAGCCAGTTTTCTAGATATAAATCATTTTCAACATTCAAATAAGAAGATGGGTCTCAGAGAAGCCTCTGCTTGGACCTTTGGACACTAACAGGAGTAAATGTCATGCCAAGATTTTGCAACTAAGGGAATTGTAAGATCTGAAAGATGATATTCTCCAATAGTAGTAAGATTTTTTTTTCCATATTTAAACTGTCAGACTTCTGGTTTCTTGATGGTTTTCAAACTTATTTCTTCTCAGCTATACCACATGTGTACAAGTACATATAAAATAGGTCTGGACATATTTCATATTCCCCCCAAAGCAGATGCATTCGTTGGTTTGCTTAATAGTTTTACAATGAGGGAAAACATGAAAACTCTGAAGTACCCAGAAGTACAGTTGCACAGAAAATCATTTGGTCTGAGCCTTTTATTTCTTTAAGTTTAACGTGATTTTAAGTTTTCTATGATTTATAGTTTCTCAGGTAAAAATAGGACTTAGACCCCTAAAGTGCTTTGTTAAACATCCATCATCTCTAAATTGTATTTTAAATACCACCAGGAAAGTTTATTCTATTAATATGGGTGAACAGATCTATACTAGAAATTAGTTTCACGTACTTATGGTTTGGTAACTTTCTCAAGTCAGATTTTCTAAAGATGAAAGGTCGTTGTGGAGGTTTGAATGAAAAGGCACCCCCTGACCTCTATAGGCTCATATACTTGAATGCTTGGTCTCCAGTTAAAGGAACTATTTGGAAAGGATTAGGAGGTGTGGCCTTGTTGGAGGAGGTGTATTCCTGTGGGTGGGCTTTGAATCCAAGAGTCCATGCCAGGCCAGGATCTCTGTCTTTCCAACTGGCTATCTTTGGATCATGAGTAAGCTCTCAGTCTCATGTCTGCCTGTTGCCAAGCTTCCTGTCACAATGATTTTGGACTAACCCTCTGAAACTGTTAAGTAAGTCCCCAACTAAATGCTTCTAGTTGCTTTGGTCATGGAGTCTAATCAAAGCAATAGAACAGTAACTAAGACAACAGTTAAAATGAGATTCGGTTGTTTCATTGTTTCAATAAACTAAAAACAAAATACTCTTTCTAGAGTGCCACCTTTGTGCTAACTTAGATATCTAAGTTCATTAGATATCTCATTGATGCTTATGAAAAGACACAGTTATTCCTTCTCAAAAGATATGATATTTGAGACACCATACAGAGCAAAACATTTTCTTAATGTCTGGTTAACTAAGAAGTGGCATCAATTCAAATTCAAATCTAGTTCTGTTGAACACTGTATCACACCAGCATCTATAATTATAAGATAACAAACTACAAACACATTGCTTCAGTTTTTAGGTAACACCATTATTACACTACGGTCATGGTATCTGAATTTAGTATCAACACCAAGACCTAAAGTTAGAGACTATGTGAGAGACTTATTTCTCTGTCATGTCAGGTAGAGGAGGAAAACTGATGGCAAGAAAAGAATGGTTCTATGACATTTTCATAAGAAAATCCTTTGCTGGAAGTGCTTTTCACTGCAAAGCATTCAGTAGCAGCTCTTATCGTTGCCCCCTCTACATTATAATATTTAGCGATTATAGAAAAGCAGCATTTATCCTGGTTAGTTTCTACAGTGGATATTATAAGCACTAGGCAAATCCACGCACGTGTGGTACACGCCCTCCTATGGCATCAAGACAGTCCTAGAATGTATTCACTAACTACTCTTAGGTGTCTTGGGGCTTGGGGCGTGGGATAATTGCAATTGTTTTCAACAACTCTCTCTAGAGACATAGATGGGACATACGAAATCCATGGCTGTGAGAGGTATCCACTGTACCTTATGTGAAACCACCTGATCCCATTCCCCACTCTTTAACATTCTTTACACTATTAGGGAGAAAATACCTGTGTCAGAAAATCCCCAGGAAGGTCATAGGTTTTACACAGCTCTGAGATCGTTACTTGACCACTTTCTTGCAATTTATCATTTACCTCTTCTGATAACCGATCCAGATAGTTCCTAATATTGAAGAAAAGGTTTTTAAAAACTTAAGAGTGTTTTCCTTCTGCATTTTCCCGTCATGCTTTCCTTGGAGTAATGAACAGAATGCAAATGGACATCACTCACTGTTCAGATTCTAAAGCTAATTCTTTGCTCATGGATGCAATTAAATGTATGGTTAATCAAACGGCATTTTGTTTTCTTTTGCCAATAGAAATTTTATAGTCATTCTACTTTAATATTTTTAGAACACATTTTGCTTTGAGTTCAGTTAATTCATGACAAGTAATGAAAGCTATGTTTTTATATTGCCTTAATAAGAAAAAGATCAAGATTTAGACTATTTATGAAAATGCATTCCCCATAACTAGCACTTACTTTTCAAATGGAATGATTTTTATAATAAGATGATTTTTATATTCTATTACATGAGCTTAAACAAAAAGCCTAACTGCCCATCACTGGCCTGAACTTAAAGGCATGCCTCTCAGCATTATACTTACTCGTCTATCAGTTGACCCAATACGATTTGGACATGTTTCTCTGATTTAATAATGTCACTGATTCTACTTTCAATATGAGTCAGGTCCACATTAATAACCTAGAATTAGACAGAAATTATATAAAGTTTGCACTTCTTATTAAATTTAAGATTATACATTAAGGGTTATACTTTTATACTCATTCTTAGATGAATTTTGAATTGCTTTAAAACATTGATAGCTAAGTATAGTGACAAACACTTATAATCTTAACATGTGGAAGGGCAGTCACAAGTTCAAGGCTGGTGTTGTCTACATAGACAGTTCTAGGTAAGGCAAGGTCACAGGATAAGACAAACACTGCTAATTAAAGAAGAGGGGGGGGGGGAGAGAGGGAGAGAGAGAGAGAGAAAGAAAAAATAAAGAGAGAAGAAGGAGGAGGGAGGGAGGGAAGGAATTCCCATTGCTTATTTATTTACTTTTGAATTCTGATGAATTAATTTTTTCCAGGAAAACTTGTATTAAGCAGTGAAAAAAAACCATAAAACACATCATTTTATATAAAATTTTCTAGCATCTGGATTACCTTGATCATACATATTTTTTAATATTTTAAAAATATTTTTCTTTCCTTTTTAAACTATTTCTCTATTACTCTCTATATACTAAAATATATAAATATGAAACCCTAAATGTTTCACCCAAAATTACACAAACATTACAATTTTATAATGTAATAACTATTGAGTTTTTTCTGTAAAAAAATGTATTCAAACAAGAATGAAGCTGGGCAGTAGTGGAGCACACCATCAATCCCAGTGCTTGGGAGGCAGAGGCAAGTGGATCTCTGTGAGTTCCAGGCCAGCCTGGTCTATAAGAGCTAGCTAGTTCCAGGACAGCTAGGGCTGTTATGTAGAGAAACCCAGCCTCAAAAAACAAAAACAAAACAAAAACAAAAAAACAAAAAAAACAAAAAAGAATGAAAAAGAAAAACAAAACCCAAAAACTAAAATTTAGTAAATCAATTCAAGGCATCAGCCGAGGTTTCACAACTATGTCTTCACAAATATCACACCACACAACACTAACACTAGTGAATACTTAGAGAGGAACCAAGCAAACCCATAACATTAGATATTAAGAAACTTAAGAAATCAAAGCAAAAGTTTTACACATTTACCTGTTGTAAGTCAACAATGTTTACTCGACCTTTGAACAAAAGACAGGCATTTAAATTACTTAGAAGAATAGCCAAACAGCATAATTCTAACAGATACAGTGTTGATCAGTCCAAGTCCTTCTACAAAGGGCTTTGGAGCACAATAACTGATGCATTGAGATATAAATTACTAGTTGATCAATCTTTATGGTTAAAACCATAGGCAATACTGTTTCAAAGATGTTTTTATCATATCAGATACAAATATGAACATCAACCGAGACAAGGTGGACAAACCTAGGAGAGCCATTCCCTTCCCCACACAATTCAGTTCATCTAAAATGATCAATGGAAAAATCTGCAATAATTTAAGATGAAAGAGCCATTCCTTGAAATTGGAAAGTGGGTGTTTATCTACCAGCAAGAGAGAATGTGGTAAACATTCCAAATCACAGCTTGTATTTTATTAGCACCATTGCAGGAAGACAGGAAACAAAACACCAAGGCTACATCCTAATAGTATCCAATGAAGAGTTGGTTTGGTTGAAATCCAACTGTGCTCAATCTGCTTAAGTCATAGTTCAAATTTTAAAAATACAACGAAAACAGTATTTTGTGTCTGCTGGCAGTAACTGCATTTCATATAATATGATGGACCTCAGATCATAGTTTATAGATTTACAAAGTTTTTAAGGAATGCAGCATTAATATCTGAGAACTTACAATCTTATGAAATCTCTATTTCTCAGAAACAGTTGACAGCTAGATGCCCACCCCTGGTTCATGATGTAAATTAGTATGAAAAGAAAAATCCTACAAATAGAGTACATTTAATTCAATGCAACAAAACCATGGTATTCGTTAAATGGCAATAATCAAGATCATGTTTGCAAGAACCTAGGAAGGCTGACTGAGTTACCAGCTGGGAAGGGTCTCGGCTGAGCGGCAGCATTTGCTAGCATGTGCCCAAGTTTGATTCCCAACACAAGGTGGGGGGAAAAAGGAATAATTGAGGAGAATGCCCTATAACCTCCATATGATTATTTACTTATAATTCTAATGTATTTCCCAAACATCCAGTAAAAAGAAATACATCTACAATACCAAGGAATTACTTACCCCCACGGACATGGAGTTCCTCTTTCATCTCTTTGCTGATCTGGGCTGGAGTGATGTATTCCTTCCCATCAAGAGTATGGACTACGTCTAGCTGTTTCTGAGAGATCAGTTTATTCACAATCTCAATGCAGTTCCGCTCTGACAACCTGCGAGAAACCAGAAGTTTAAGAGTGCGGCTGATATTCAAACCCACAAAAAAGGGTTTGAATGCAAAATTCTGAGCAACTTCTACATTACAAAATCTGTCCTTTATCAGTACAATGACATTAAGTAATTTAAAAAGGAAACCTGAAGAGTAAGTCACTTTGCATTCACTTGAATTATTTACTTAATCCAGACACATCATTGTACTATGATTCTAACAGTGTTCTCTTCTAGTCCGGTCTTCAACTATCAAAACTGTGGACATACAAGGTAAGAAATAAAACACCAGCTATGCCTTTGGTTTTCAGATGGAACGAACTTTTCCAAAAAGCACAGCATGTTGGTCTTACTGGCACAGATGGTGTACATACAGGTCATCTGACTTAGCAAAACCAGTCACTACTGTCAGTTACTCACACAGTTTATCGTGTCCTAGATTTTGTTTTCTTGGGGTTTGTTGTTGCTTGTTTGGTGTGTGAATGAATATGTCTGTAGGTGCTGTAGTAATAAAATACTACAAGAACACGTTTACAAGGAGCAAAAAAAAAATCTGTTCGCATTATACATGCGATCTGTAATCCTGGACGCGGAGTCGGGGTGGTCTGGTCACTCCTCCGAAGGATCCATGGAGTACAGAAAAGTCAGGGGCCGGGAGTCCCTAAAACTGACAGATGGCGGCTTAGATCTGCACCCGCAGATAAGAAGGGATTTAAGGAGGGTCAGGCTACTTGCTGCGCACCGCCCTGGGGTCAAGGCCGGGCTGCGAGCGCCTCTACCGGCAGCCACAGCAGCCGGTCCCCGGGGTCCCGCTGACGCCCGGCGGCCGGAGCCGAGTGGGGCAGCGTCCCGGGCCTAAGCCGGCTCCAGACCGGAGGGGACCAGCACCTCTGCGCGGCCTCCGCAAACTGCGCCCGCTGGAAGTCAGCCGCCAGCCGCCGGATCTCCTCCCAGGCGTCCGCCATCGCCGTCCCGCTCGCACCGACACAGGGAAACGGCAGACACGTCAGCCCTCAGTCCGCCGCAGGCGCCCAGGGACGGGCCGCGCCGAGGGCCAAGACACCCGCGCGAACGCAAAATCGCGAGCGGAGGCGTGGCGGTCACGCTGGGCGCCCTCGGCTGGGCGTGGCCTCCGGGAGGAGGCGGCGAACCGCGTCAAAGCCCGGCTAAAAGCTGACTCAGTATTCCTGGGGTCTGTGGGAAGCCACTTCAGGCCCGGCAACAAATGATTGACAGCCCTTGCAGAGGGGACGAGACACCCTTCTTTTGTCAGGATGTTAGAAACCGTGACAACTTTGAACAATGAGTCGGACTTCTACTTGGGCCAAGAATGAAGTCATTTTGTTTGTTTGTTTGTTTGTTTGAGAAACATGGGCTTCGCTACTACATCAGTTTGAGTTTTGTTTTCCCAACTGAATGCACTGGGATATAGCAAACGCCATGGAATTGAGTTCATGTGTTCTAGAGCCTGCTATTTTTCTTAAGGGGAATATGTATTCAGACAAAGGAATGAGTATGGCTGGGAATGAAATGGTGGAAGACAGGATAACACCGCCTCTCTGCGTTGTCATCCTTCGACAACTGCTGCTACTTTTCATTCACATTCACCACATTCTCCACTAAATCAGTGGGCAAATCACACAGCAAAAAATATTTTGATACATACTGTTATTACTTAGTAAAGAATATTTTGCTTTTTTCCATGTAAATATATTAGTCTAGATAATACATCCAGCAGATCAATATATTTGTCTTCTTAAGTACCTAGCTTTGATTAAAATTTAGAGAACTCCATCTTTAAATTTGTATTTCTCTGTGCTCTCCACCCTACCTTTTGAAGCAGTGTCTCTCAGCAAGGCTCGATGTTCTCCATTCCAGTTAGACTTACTGGTCAGCAAGCCCCTGGGGGATCATCCTGGCTTCACCTCCCAGGCAGGTTGATCACCATATCCAGCTTCCTGACTGAGATCTGGGCTCCGGACTCAAGTCCTGTGCTTGCTGAACCATCTCTCTACCCATCAATTTCAGGGCTTTTGAGTCGGGGATATTTTAATTTTTCCCAATATGTGATATACAGAGGAACTTTTAAGCCATGTACTGGGTGAATTCACGGAACAAAGATGAAGTGACTCTTTTCTGGAGGGTAGATGATCCCTTTGAAAAGTGAACATTGTGTGGGTTTGGGGGGGGTTGAAGTTCTAGCCTTTATAAAATGTTCTGATAGTTGTCTGTGGTAATGTGCAAACCATCTTAATGTCCATATGCAGGCAATCTGAAGACAGCTGGCGTTGTCTGTAGCTACAATGTGTACATGATTTATGATAGATTCTCAGACTTATATATTGTCCTTTGACATAAAAGAAATAAAATTGCACACAGTAATGAAGCCCTGTGATGCTTCAATATATGTACACATGTAGAATATTTAAATTATGCCAAACCCCTAACACTTTACATACTATCCATGAAGAAAATGTTCAATATTCTTGCCTCTAGTGCTATAAGATATAAAGTACATGGTTATCCAGTTGACAAGAAGGACCTCATAAAACTAAGAACTATCTACACAGCAAAGGAATCAATCAAACAAATAAAAAGGAAGCCCACAATAGGAGAGACTCTTTGTCAGCTATACATCTATCATAAGATTATTGTTCAGTATATATAAAGAACTGAAAAAAATCAAAGAACAAACAAAAATCAACAATAACAACAAGAGAAACCCCTGTGGGTGGAGGTTTTCTGTGTTTTGTCAGTTAGCTCTGTCCTTCTAGCCATCTCCCAAAGTCTTATTATTAATTATAAATGCTTGGCCAATGTCATGCCCGCCTCGCCAGCAAGGATGACACAACACCGGACTCTTCTCACTGCGGTTTATTCAGGACCTTTGAACAATCTTCTCACCCTCTCGCCCAGGGCAGAGACAGCCCACAGCTTAAATAACCTCTGGGTAGCCAACCCCAGCAAGCCACGTGGGAAATGCAGATAGGTTCGGGAATGCAGAAGCAAGCCAGATCCTTAGTGTTAGTCATACATGGAGTTGTTCACAACTGAGAGCACTCACCATCAGGAAGGTGGAAGGCGGAAATCAGCGTCACCTTTAAGGCGTGTCATCACGCAGCTCTCTACAGGCCAATAGCTTAGGATTATTAGTAACTAGCTCTTACAACTCAAATTAACCCATATTTCTTATCTATGTTCCTCCGTGGGGTGGTACCCTTTCTCAACACAGTACATTCACCTTCTGCTTCCTCTGTGCCTGGCTGGTGACTCCCTGACCCCACCTTCTTCTTCCAGTGTCCTCTTAGTTTTGCTCTCCTGACTAACGGACTAACCTCTTCCTGCTTAGCTACTGGCCAGTTATCCCTTTATTAAGCCAATGAGAAGAGCAAATATTCATTGTGTAAAAAAGACTGTTTCATAGCAAATCTCCACAAAATGACCAAAAAATAACAAAATCAAAAACAAACAAACAAACAAAAAACAATGGGATTATAGAGATGAACAAGGAGATCTCAAAGAAAGAAACAACAGTGGCTAAGATTGCTCCAAAAGATGGTCATCATGGTCATCTTCTTTAGCAATTAGAGAAATACAAATCAAAACAATTTTGAGATGTTATCTTACCCTAGTCATAGTTACTAAGATCAAAATGATAATGATGATGATAATAATAATAATACAACTGACAATAAATACTGGGAAGAATGTGGAAAAGGGAACCCTTATTCACTCTTGGTGGAATTGAAATTGATCTAGTCACTCCAGAAATCAGTATAAAATCTCAAAAATCTAAAAATAAATCTGTGGGACCCAACTATATCATTCCTTGTTATATGCCCAAAGAGCTCAACATCCTACTCCACAATCACATTCATTGCCATTCTATTTACAATGTCTAATAATCTAAATGTCCTTCAACTGATAAATAGATAGTGAAAATGTGGTCAAATACACTGTGGAACTGTATTCACTTATAAAGAAAAATGAAATCATGAAAATTTCAGGTAAATAGAAATAGAAAAGAAGATATTAAGTCAGGACAATCAAGAGCCAGAAAGAAAACACTACATATTCTCTCTAATTTCCAGTTCCAAGCAATTTCCAGGCATTAATATATAACCTGGAGTAACTAAGAAAACAAAAAAGTAAAATGGGGCAATAGGGATGGGGTAGAGCAAGTACTATCAGGATCTGGTGATTATAAAAGGAAAATGGGAAAAAGAGGGGAAGACTATGAAGAAGGATAAGGAGGGAAGAAAAAAAAATCTAGCCCAAGAATGTTTGAAAAAGACATAAGGAAGCATACTATTTTTTCATTTACTTAAAAATTAACATAACAGGTAGACTGCCAGCAAACCTCCTCTCTCTCTGTTCCCCCACATGCAATCCCTCAGTCTTATCCCCAGCATTGCAACAGAACACCTTCAGCAAGCCTCCTCCCACCCCTACCCAACTCTCCCTTGGATCCCACAAACTATTCCCTCCTAATCTCACTCCCTGCCTGCACTTTTCGCTTTATCCCAGACCCCAACTCAACCAGGCATGCCATAATAACTCAAGGGTTGCTCCTGCCAAGGTAACAAGTAGGCTGGAGACAAGCATACACCTCTCCTACTGTTTCTGAGATCTAATCCCTTCAGCTTCATCTCTAGCTTTGTAGTTGGAGACATGCTGTGGTCGTCCATTACTCTCTGACCCCATTCCCAAAGGATCATAAAGATCTTCTCCCCCAGCCTCCAACACCAGAAGACATTCCCTATGAGCACACCAGCCAATCAGGCAACGGAAACAGGCATCACACAGGCACCACGCAGGCATCCTACTCTCCAAAAATTCAGAGAAACAAAAACAAGGAATAAAACACCCACTCTACAAGGAAAAAGTCAGAAACCAACACCTAGACCTATTAACATCTCAATTCCATAGGCCTAGATGCCAACATAAAAGCACGACCCACAACAATATGTCTTCACTAGAGCCCATCTATACTACCATAGCAGGCTCTGAATATCCTAACATAGCTGAAGCACAAAAAAGACCTCAAAACCAACTTTATGAAGATTATAGAAGTCCTTAAGGAAGGAAAACAACAAATTTCTTAAAGAAATCCAGGAAAACACAAATAAACAATTGGAGGAATTAATAAATCCCTTAAAGAAAGCAAGAAAAGACAAACAGTTCAAGGAAATAAATAAATTCCTTCAAAGAAGCCAAGAAAACACAAATAGTTGAAGGAAATAAATAAAATCAAGACCTGAAAATGAAAGTAGAAACAATAAAGAAAACACAAACACTGAGTTCTGGAAATGAAAAATTTAGAAATTCAATCAGGCCCACAGAGACAAGCTTTACCAACAGAATAGAAGAGATGGAAGAGAAAATCTCAGTCATTGAAGATATGATAGAAGTAAGGGATACATAAGTCAAAGTCAATATTAAATCGAAAAATTCCTGACACAAAACATTCGGGAAATATAGGACATCATGAACAGACCAAAACTATGAATAATAGAGATAGAGAAAGGAGAACAATCTCAAATAAAAGGCCCCAAAAGTATTTCCAACAAAATCATAGATGAAGATTTTTCTAATCTAGAGAAAGAGATGTCTATTTTATGGGATTCCAAGTGGATTGGAACAAAGAAGAAAGTCACTTATTACATAATAATTAAAACACTTAACATACAGAACAAATCAAGACTATTAAAAGCTGCAAGGGGAAAAGACCAAGTAACATACAAAGGTAGAGCTTTTAGAATTTTACCTGATTTCTAGGTGGAGATTCTAAAAGCCAGGAGGGCCCAAAAAGATGTGTTA